TCTTTAATATTACATTCATTATGCATATAACATATTATACAACCATATTACATTTGTTATACATCTTTAATATTAGCTATACATCTCATTATTTTTTATTATTTTATTATTTTAATTATTTTTTGATTAAGTAAATGTTGATTTTGTAGATATTCAATGATCCATACCCATTGAAAAAAACAAGTTATAGAAGACATGAGAATGCAATGAGTTTCCCATTTTTTAAGTATTTTTTATAATTTGTAAATTGTTTTAACTTATAATGATGTAAATTAAATAACATTATGATGTTTTTATATATATTTTGTATATTATTATTAAATATGTTATAAATTTGTTAAGTATATAGTCTGTCTTTAAAATATATATTATTATGGAGGGAAGTTAATGTTTAAATCAAAATAATTATTAAAAAAACTATCATTTTTTATGTTGATAACAAATATAACTGATATAAAAAGTGAAATTTCTATGATGGATCATACCACAATCATTGTAGAAAGTAAATTTTTTTATGACAGTTGCTACTTTAACCATAATAAAAATTCTACTTTCTATATCGATTTTGTTAGAAACTCGTCATAAAAAGTTGACTTTCTATATCGATTTTATTAGAAATTGTCATAAAAAGTCCATTTTTTATATGATTATAGTAGCAATCATAATAAAAGGTACCTACACCAACATGTTTTTTCATCTTATTTTTTAACTTTTTATAACAATTAGATGTGTAACTAATATAGAATGTGATTTTTTAAGTCGTTTAAAAATTCGACATAAAAAATTAATATTTTTTATATCTTCCGTATCTATGTCGATTTAAAAACTGATATAAAATATCCAAAATAACCGATATAAAAATATATTTATCTAGTAGTGATAGATTGTCAATTACAAGTGTCGCAAGTGGATATTGACCGTGTTTTGTGACCTTTATTAAGTTTATTTTCACTCCAAGGTATACAGGAATATAATCAAACTTTATTATTAAACACTTTTTTTCAACAATTTCCCAATGATACAAAAGATAATATTGTTGCGTAACATGCAAGAAAGACACACGTATTAACAATAATTGGAACTTATTGATATCGGATTCATCAGCGTCTAGAATATATTTAATGTATCTCATATTATATATATATATATATATATATATATATATATATATATATATATATATATATATATATATATATATATATATAGACACCAAAATAATTTAATTTTTTTTAGATGATTTTAATTTCCTTTTGCTTAATAATTTTTAAAAATATTTATGAAAGTAGTAAAATAAAATTATTTTTTAAAATTAAAAAAAAATATAACTAAAATGATCCATCCACACAAACAAATTAGTGAATTAAATGGTTAACCCACCTAAGTTTTAAAGATTTAACAAACAACATTTGTATGTGTAATGAATCTTTTACAATTATGTCAAAATACCAATGATAAAAGAAGAAAAATAAAAATTTTAAGTAGGACGATCATATTTTAACTACTAGTTTTTAAAATAATTAAATTAAATTTAGATAATTATTTTTCAACCTTATATTTTTGAGTATTTTTAGGCAGCAGGTCAAGCCCATTTTCATAAAGAGGAGTAACATGATCTCTACCCTTGACTCCTGATATATATACTACGTGCACAAAAGCGAGAAACCCTAACAGCAGTTTTAGAACAGAGAAAAGATGCAGATCTTCGTGAAAACCCTAACTGGGAAGACTATCACCCTTGAGGTGGAGTCAAGCGATACCATTGACAATGTCAAAGCCAAGATTCAGGACAAAGAAGGTGCAGTTTAATCAAAACTTCGTCATTGATTAATTCTCTTTCTCTCTTATATATGTTTGTATGATTCATTATGTTTTGCTCTTTGTCCAGGGATTCCCCCGGACCAGCAGAGGTTGATCTTCGCCGGGAAACAGCTGGAGGATGGCCGTACCCTTGCCGATTACAACATCCAAAAAGGTATGGAAAATCTCAATTTCGAAATGGCGCACTGTTCGGCTATGTCTATTGCTCTAGTATTTTGAATGTGGTAATTAATTGATTTTTGTTTTGTATGGATTGTAGATATTGTTGTTAGCCATATCTGTGTATGAATTTCGCGAGTGTAGGTGTTTGAAGTAGAAATCTGGAGTTTTAAAATTGATGAGAATTAACGTAACAGTATTTATAAATATGAGAATCGAATACTTTTTACTTTATTGTGTCACTCTAATCACTTTCGTCCTATTTGGCTGAGAACACCAGACCCCAAGTATTGTTAATTATCCTCAATGACTTTGGTGTAAACTGTGAGGCTTATTTTTGGGTTGGTTTCTATATTTTGCAGAGTCAACATTGCATCTTGTTTTAAGGCTTCGTGGTGGGATTATTGAGCCATCTTTGATGGCATTGGCAAGGAAGTATAACCAGGATAAGACGATCTGCCGCAAGTAAGTTTACACATCCTACTACTGAATCCTGTTGGTTCATTCCTAACTAATTCAAAATATTGTTCTTATGAAGTATAGTCAAAGGTGACAAAAAACTGAAGTTTATAATGTATAAGAAAGTCACATAAAACTCAATGTTGCAATTTATGGTGTAAGCCTTTATCTGTCTGCAAGTAGTGTACTAAATTTAGACATGAATGATGAATGCTGAATGGGTTTTATGCATACACTGATGTCTATATAGAAAATTAATGGCTACAGCTGGTAGTTTTCTCTGAGGTGCATATTTCTGAAAAGCCTACACCAAGGTCTTATTGCTCGCATCTCAGCCACTATTTTAAAGACTTACGTTTTGTTCTGTATATCATGTTCCCCACCCACCAATATCAGTTGATTTTAATCATTTTACTTGTCTACTCTTGTCCCACATCCACTCATTCTTGATCACCCTTTGTGCGATAGATAAATGGTGAGATGCCAGTCTATTCGATTAGCATAGTTTATTTACTGCTACGAATAAACATTGTATAATCAATCACTATGCATTATTAACTAACAAGAATGATATTTAAATAATGATTTTTTTACAAGGGTAAAATAGCGCTTAAATACTAGATAATACCCTTTTCATAATATTCTCGCCCCTTTATCTTTCCTCTCATTTCCTCCCATCCAAGCTCTAGGGTATCCTTTTTCCTTTAACTTCCTTAGATGCATTGAGATCTTGATGTGTGTTAGGCTATGAGCAGGTATCTTTTTGATAACACCAGAGATACATAACAAAATTGGCTTTAGAATAATTGCTTGTCTTTTTTAGCACTGCTGAATTTAAAGACAACTTCATTAAGAGTAAATAATTTTATGGAACTTGTTTGTAATTTCTTTTGAGAAAATACAATTCAATGCATCAAATAATATTTCTTTTAGTGTCTGCTTGTCTGTGTATTTCCTTTGTCAGGCTTGGAAATCATTTTTATAAATAACTCTTTTGAATTCTATATAATTAGGTTCCAAGCATCAAATTAAGTGCTATCTAAAAGGCATCAGATTAATTGTTTTCTTCTGGATTACTTCGGTTGGTGAAGGTGTTACATGTTGTGTTGTAAATCAAATGTTATTTTAAAATAATATATTCTTTCTTGAAAAATGGAATGGTAGTATTCATAACATAACTATATGCTTTGAGAACCAAGGGCTGCTTGTTGTATTAGAAGTATTAGAAAGCCTACCTTATATATAATAGCATAACTTATCCATGTTCAGCGTCCATGCATGACTATGACTAAATGAAAAAGATGTTGTCATATTTTGAGTTAAAACTGGTGCTGGTATGTATTAATCATTATGCTTTGCAGGTGTTACGCACGTTTACACCCCCGTGCTGTGAACTGCAGGAAGAAGAAGTGTGGACACAGCAACCAGGTACAATAATTTACTAGCACTATATCTCAGTGCTCTTAATTTTTACTGAAAGGAATTCCGTGTCATTGGAGTAATCATGGCATTTAATTTTTGTATTGCAGTTGAGGCCAAAGAAGAAGATCAAGTAAACTGTTCTAATTGCAAGATGGAAACATGTTTTTATGGATTACTGGATGTCTTGTAATCCTGACGACTCCATTAGCTTCGTAGTAAATCTGTTGGATATTTGATCATCAAAGTTACTCGTGATTATTTTTTCTTTCAGTTTGAGACGCATTGTTATCAATTATGCTACAGTTCCTTTTTATGATACATTTTTGTTTTGACAATAATGCGTTGTCGTGTCCTGTAACTATATTTTTTATTACTTTCGACCAGACCCGTAATTTTTGTTTCTTAATTTCGTAATTTTTCAATCTAACTCCTGATAAATCAAGACCGTAATTTTTATTTCATAATTCCCTTTTTTTTTCATTATTACTCGTGAAAGATCAGGCCAATAATTTTTGAATACTTTGTTCCCTTTTTATTTTAACTCGTGTAAGATCAGCCTTCATAATAATTATAAGAGTAAAGAGTTTCTCCTTGTGTTAGTTTACTAATTTGCAGTGCTCGATATGGTTTTGTTTCATTGGTTTCTGCATTTGAAATGAAGTTGGTGGATGTGAATAAATCGTGGCAGATTCAACAATATGGAGTAGACTAGTTCTCTATTTTTCAATTTTTGTGAACGTACGCGTGTCTGTATGTCCATAAATTTTCATTTATTGTTGTATATTGAAACAACAGTTTTATTTGTCAGTATGATTTTGACAATAATAGAAGTATAAAACTATGTTATGTGATGACATGATTGTCCAAAAGTACGAGTAGCATCGCGGCTTCTACTTGTGTATTTTAATGGCCCATCACACTTGCAATCAGGGTAATCAGTTGGCATTTCTCCTGGATAATTAAAAATGATACTCTGTATGATAAAAAAATGTGACCATCAGCGAGCGAAAGTATGTTTCTCCGTCCGAATCTTGTCTGAGGTCTCGCTTCATATTTTATCTGTTATAAATGCCAAGTCACGTAAAACACTTAACTGTCTGCAACATCTCATTTGTTTTGTCTCGTTTTCCTTGTTAACGTTAAATGGGAGAATATGTATACCTGGTTTGGAAAATGTTTTGGATCATCCTTCGAGGTGATTCTGTTGCTGCATAATCCAACCGAAGCAACTCGTCTGAGGATAGGCGCCAACCAAGAGCACCCAAGTTTTCCTCTGCTTGTTTAATAGACTTGACTCCGGGAATTGGAACCGTACCTTTGCATATGCACCAATTTATGGCTACCTGGCATGACAATCAAAGAATGAGATGGTGATAAGGTATAATGTTCGGGCAAGGTTGGTCAAGTAGGTGGTCAGCATTGTCATTTTCGACGCACCTATGACAAGGACAATTTAGTGGGTTGGTCGTTGGTTCTGCAAAAGTGTATTACTTTATAACCTTTAAAAAAGTAAGTTGCGTAGGGAAGCACGACATTTAAAAACATACATGTTATATTAAAAGTTTGCTTCTTGGGTGGTTGATCCTGATAATGAAGCAGCAGTAGTTCTCATGTTTTTTGTGGATAAATGTACAAGACTTATATACAGTACTATTTATGCAGGTATTTTTCTCCATTTTCACCTTGATAATGTGCATCGTATTAAATAAATTACATTTTATCAAAGTGAAAATATGATTGGACAACAATACTTAAGAACCTATAATACTGTATGTAAGTTTAACCTAAGATGTAGCAGTTCCTTTCTGACTCCAGGTATCAATGATGCTGATATTACATAGTCCATTAATGGAATAATATGTGATGCACAAGCTTCCTTGAAGAAAAGGATCTTGGTTTCCTGTTATGCCGCGTTTAGTATTGGTTGATCTAGAGTTCAGGAACAAGCACAAAGGTTTTAGTGAACAAGAAAGCTTGACTAAAAGAATGAAGAATGCATGTAACCTGAATATGACTAACAATATAGATCAAAATATGTTGTCCAAAAGATTAGCCAAGAGGGCCTAGCTTTGCAAATGTGATAAAACTAAGCATAGATTTCGGTAGTTGGTGTGCTTCCTACACAAATACATGTGAGAAAATGAAGTCTACGAAGAGGAGTGATAAAAATATATAACCATGAATTTCATTTTGCATATATGGCATCCAGTAGTGTCAAGAAATAGGACAACAGAACTAGTTGTCTTTCTTTAAGATCTATGTTCAAGAATTCAACTTGTTTTTAGTTAGTTAGTAATCCTGCAACGCATCTTTTACAACTCAGACATTCACAAAATATCTACAAGAAATTACCAGCATAAAGGGAAAACAAAATGGGAAAAGAATTACTTGTGACATGGTTTTCCGCCGTTTATTTGCAATATCTCTCAGGGAACTCAATAAAGGATCCAATCCCGGAAGTATTTGCTTAAAGAGCAACGCCCTGTGAAATGCAAATTACTAAACTAGAATTCTATAAGAAAAAGATGATGCTTTATGCTACAAAGTTATTCTCTGTTTATCCCCTTAGAGTATTTGCTTAATATCAACATACCTTGGCCCACTTGGAAGTTTAGATGGTGAGTATTTCCCAGTAAGCATCCCAAGTCCCAGAGGACTATAAGCAATCATGCGAATACCCAGAGAGTCACATATACTCTTGATCTCTAGTTGATCTTCTCCCATGCTTAGCAAAGAAAATTGCACCTGAAACATTGAAATCATGAAGAAGATTAATAAGAGAATACCAGTAAAGCATCACAATTACTGATTGGTGAGGTGACAGCATACAAATAGCATGTTCAGGCCCTCAGGTTTATTACACTGATTCTCTTTCAGAAACACAACGAAGCAAAATACTAGCTACAGTCATTAGCTTTGTCACATATACCTTTCCTCTGACTTTTCCTTTTTCCATTTTTCTTTGAAGACTCTCAAAAGAATATTTGAAATTGAAATGGTTTGACAATCATGTCATGCCTATATTCCCATTATGTATAGCAAATTTTGAGTGCTAAATTAAATTTATGCGTAAGTTTATACCTGGGCAGAGCATAAGGGGACTCCACGGTCTTTCAGATAATCGTGTATCTTTAGAAGCTGCTTTGGTCCGTAATTACTCACTCCAACAGCTTTAACCAAACCCTAAATGCAACGTATATATGAGTACAGAAATTTTGATCATTCAAGAAATTTAAACTAATTTTTCTTGAAGATGTAATAACTATTGAAGTCGATGTTTAACTATGCCGATCTAAAACTGAAAAAGAATGACTTTATCCACATTCAGCGCATAAAAGAAGGATTTTTGTTTCCTTCCTCCCCTTTCAGATTTATACTACTTCCATAGCATTGCAAACATTAGTTAGTCTTTAAACAATGTTTCACTCTAGGTCTTATTTATACATTAGTTAAACATGAATTGTAGTAACCTTCTCATACATTGCCACTAAACCATCCCACAGAGCTAATTCCTGCAAAGGAGCATAATTTGCAGTTGACCAATGCAGTTGTCCTATCCCAATTTGCTCAATCTGCATTCTATCTAGTGACGCCCTGAAAGTTTATTTCATCCAAGTTCAAAACCATATGCAAAAAATAAAATAAAAATACATCAAGCAAATACCTGCAAGCATTCACAAACTGCCCTGGTGTAAGGCGCCATGGATACGCAGCAAACTTGGTAGCAATTACTATGTCACGGTTGCTCCCCTTTTTCTCTAAGGAAGTGTTACATCAATTTGGTGAACAAATGTGAATAAAAGAATCACCATCTATATGCATTTGTAATGTAAAGATTTTATATACTGGCATTAAATTACAAACCAGCATGTATAATAAGTGTGTTGACTTTGATAAGAACTATTTTAAAAGTTTAATGGTTACAGTGTACACACTTTTTTACTCATTACAACATGATAATTATGACACAGAAATTAACATAAATCAAATAACAAAACTATGTAGGCAGAGCAAGTAACAATGAATTGGTTACTTAGACATGCACTCAAATCTACAACAGAATATAAAACAAATTAAATGCAAGTTAGAAAGGGATGCGAGATAAACCTTGAAAATCTCTAATGAACCTCCCCAGAAGCTTCTCGCTCTGACCATTTAACCTTCCAGTGCCATAAGAATCAGCAGTGTCAAAGAGATTGATGCCGTTGTCCACAGCCATGTTGAAGATTTGTTGAAGCTCATTATCCATGGATTCTTTGTACCCCCAGAGAAACTGATTACCCCATGCCCACGTTCCAAACCCCATGGGAGACACAGTCAGAGGACCCATCTTCACCTGCCACAACCAACCGTTGAAATTTGAAGCTCACATCATACCACACCACATATGCCATAAAAGGAACATTCTTTCTACCTTTTGGGTTGGCCAGAAGGGCGGGAATTTGAGAGACTTGAAAGGGAAAGATGGCGTTGCTAATGCTATAGGCTTAAGATTCCAAGGGTCAACACTGCAAACAGAGAGTGCCATTGTTAAAGGGTGAGTGAAAATATGAAATACTGATAGAAGAATCGGACAGAGACTAGTTTCTAACACAGTAGCAACGTTAATATCAGTTGGTTAGTTAGTGTTTTGTGTGTGTGTGTGTGTGTGTGTGGTAACCATTGAATTTCCTTATGGATCAGTTTAGAAAACCAAAAATAAAACAAAAAAATAACATATTTATTGACAGCTGTGAGATTTGAACCCACGCCCTTTCGGACCAGAGCCTAAATCTGGCGCCTTAGACCACTCGGCCAAACTGTCTCGTTGATCTAAGTTTGCATGTTATTTTATATATAAATTAGTGAAATGGCAAATGTAAAAAGAGTCACGTGAAATTGATATTCATTCATAAATTGATCAAAGTCTCCTCTTAATGTTTCTTTTTGTCAATAAAATAGATTGTTTGAAGAAAATGTTTGCTAGTTGATGTTTGATTGAAGATAGGAACTTATCGTAATGTCTAACTCAATCACTTTGTTCACTTCATATCTGATGTGCATTTATGATATCGTTAAGATGAAGGCTGTTTATATGGGGTAGGATAAGGGATGAATCTGAGGTGGAGTTCTGATCCATACAACTCTAGGGACCCTCCTTTAATCTTCTAATTTAACAAATGTAATTACATGTGATTATAATTATTATTTTCAATATTTTATGTTTAAAGTACTCACTGTATTCACACAGAAATATAGCTGTATGTGTTTATTTACAAGCCTTGTAGTTTTGCGGCGCAGGGGATGGGTTCAGAGTCTTTTTGTAAGCTGATAATTGTATTTGATTTGATGAAAATTATGATAAGATAGGACAAAAACACTGTTTTGTTTCATTTTAAACATGTTCTTGACACAATAAAACAAAAGATGAAACGTAGGACAAAAGTCTTAAAACATGATATTAAATCGAATTTAAAATAAACACAAGACCATCCAAAAATTAAAAGAAAAATTACTTCTTTTCAATAATCCTTTTTCTTCAGCCATTCCTTTCTCTGTACTTTGTTTCCCTTCTCGATTTGTGTGTCAAAACCAATCAACAAACACAGACAGTAGTGCTGTAATTCTTCTACTTGTGTTGTTCTTGAATGAACATAAGTTTATTCTGTAGAACTATATGTCAAAGTCGAACTCTTAGGCCGAATAGATCTTTGGATTCATTATGTTTGATCAACATTCTGGTGTTTTAGCACAATATATATATTGATTAACTTTGAGCTAATAAAACTAACAAGAGAAAATCACATGAACTGACACAATTGCCGTTCAGGACTTGTAATTCTCCTGCAAATTTAGTGCCTAGTATTAAGAATGTTGCGTTGCGTACTCTAGTATTAGCAATTTATTATGGAACATATTTCCATATATTGAACATCTAAACAAAGTTTATCCGTTTTTTGTTGGGTGTGTCCACATTTATTTTTTTGCTTAGCGCAATGAAGGTATTCCAGTCATTGAATAGCTGACCAGAAAGAATGGAACAATTTCTAACTGAAATTTTATTGCGATCGTGCAGTTTTTCAAGAACTCATAGTCCTGTCGATAATTAAGAACAGACGATCTAATTTTGTATTAATATAACCAGTGGTTTTGTAGGATAATATATGTTGGCTTACTGTCCTTACATGGTGGCATGGGGTGCCAACTTAATTGGGGTTGTCTCTCACTCACCTTACACCAGCTGAGCTTGTTTTGATTGTAAACACAAAAGGTTGATCCAAGTAGGATTAGGAGCTGCATTTATGCCTTACACAGTATAAAATGGAAGTAGGTCGCAAGGAGAAGCTAAGAAATTGAAATGAACATATTCACTGCTTCATGAATTCGAGCAATATATTATTCACACGGTTCATTCATTTTGTTTGTGTAGACCGCACTTGTTGATGTAGGCATAGGCTAAAGGGATAAAGAGAGGTCCCCTAAAGAATATGAAGTATTAACCCCTTGAAGTGGGAAAAGGAAAAAGAAGAAAGAACACACGCACACACACGCAACGGGGTGGGAAAGGCATGCAAGCATGAACAAACAGAGACATCATTGCACATTATTTCCTTTTCCAAATCTCTACACAAATGAATTTAGTGAGGCTAGCTTAATACTCTCCCTATCAAATCAAGCCTACAAAACTTCCTTCGAGTTTCTTGGCCTATTCGACATCCTGCTAGGCTGGAATGTTGAGTTTTGACCAGTTGGCTGCACAAGATCCAACCAAGTACCAACCAATCTTTGTTCCTTCTCGGAGGAAACAAACATCACACATGCAGCACATAGTGTTGTCCACTTTTCATGTCCAGAAATCCAACCATTGAGAGCTGCTACATGACTGGTCCAAGATGCCACTAGGGTCCACACCACTATACCATTTTTCAAGAGATGCTAATGGCATCTCAGCGTGATCATTATCATCCATTCTGAGAAGTTGGTGTCCTTTGTCCTCAGATTTCTCACTCCTTATGATGCTATTCTCATTTTGATCATCTGAACACACACCTATTCTCTCCTCCAAACCTTCATTTGAAAACCTTGGTTTTGCTTCAGGCTTCCAACTGCTGTATCCACTGCCCGAACCACCATCCTCTATGCTGTGTTCTTTGGCACCCTTGTCTTCCCTTCCACCATCATGAGATAACATCACCAAATCACTTAGCTTCTGCAACTGTTTTAAGTAACAAATAACTAAGTTAAGGGTCACATGCTTTGTTGAGATATTCAACAGTAAGAACTAAGAAGTAATCTTGTAGAAGTACCAGAAGCCATACCTCTACTTGCAAAGACTCCTTCTCTTTCTTTAGGGACTCAAACCTTGATGTTAAATTGTCATACTCATCCTTGAGTTTCCTGTATTCTTGCTCTATGCGTTTTGATTTCCACCTTGCCCTTCTGTTTTGGAACCATATGGCAACTTGGCGAGGCTGCAGGCCAAGATCTCTAGCCAGTTGCATCTTCTTCCTGGGCTCAAGCTTTGACTCTGTCTCAAATATGCATTCTAGTGATCTTATCTGTTCATCACTAAACCTCCTCTTGTTTTCTATCTTCTTGTTTTTCTTCCTTGGAGCTTCCAAGCAGGTGAAGCTTTCAACATTTTTTCCCTTTGATGCGTGAATATTCTCATCTTCCTCCATCATGAGTAGTGAGAAAGGAAGAATTTTGTGGGTGAATTTGGAATTGGATACACAATCTGTTTGCCACCAACAAAAAAAAAAAAAAAGAATTATGTGATTTAAAAGTCTGGTGAGGGGGGATCAGGTGCAGAATATATAGCTAGCCATAAAAGAAAGTATCTGAAAACCATTTCTATCACGTTATTGCAACTTCTAATGGAAGGATCATAGTGACCTATAGGATAAGATACCGTGTGGCTCTTACTATCTTTTGTTAAGTAGGAAGAAATTATCTGGTTTCCTTCGTTTACTTGTAGTCTATCTATCGGCCATATACTATTTTGTTTGTAGAAGGAACTGCTTGCTTGTCAGTTGTCACCCTCATAAGCACACGTATCTGTTGCTTTTTTATAACCAAAACGAGGGAAGAAAAAGAAATAGCCAAATTAACCCTCAAATATATAGCGTGTCAGATGATATTAGTCCTTGCAATATATATTCAGTCGGTCACAATAGTTCACAAGTTAGTAGCATTGAAAACCAATATCTTGTCTGTATAAAGGAAGAAAAGAAGGTAAAAATAGTTTAGTTTCTTCAAAATTAAATCAACATACATGTAAAAGTTAAAATGTATGGGTTGGTTTTAAATATATGGAATAAATAAAAATTTAATTTATAGAAATATTTATTAAAACAAGGATATATAACTTACTTGATGAAATACACAATTAGAAACTTATATGGTAAATTCCATCTTCAACAGTTAATGACTCACTCTGTATCTTCCAACAACTAAGTTGCAAGGTAAAAGAAAATCTACAGGTCCTATAGAAGAATGAATTGATCAGGTATATTTCGATATAAATGGCTTTTCCAGTAACTGGATTTTTAACATTTTAACTCTGGCATAGCATAGTACCTTGCTGATACACACTGTCACCAAATAGTATCATGATATTGTAACTCAAAGATGCAGCCAGCAGCACGTATAAGAACGTTCATTTGCCTTTTTTTAAGAGAAAGTAATCATCGAGAATAACTAAGAACATTCACATATTGTAAGAGCTTTGGTTATATGGTTGTTGATCTCAAGAAATAAAAGTCACAAGAAAAGAAAAAAGGGTCAGCCACAAGTTAGAAACAGACACAAAAGAGGTCCATATATGCACATCGTTATATTTATATGTAAGAAGTTAACTATTTCTTTGGGAGTTAATTGAAGAAAAGGGGGGAAAAAAACAACTCGGAAGGCACATCACTGATCATTCAGCTGAGCTACTCTCACGCAGTGGCTGCCAAAAATCAACGGTGGCAAGAATAAGATATTATATTATTTGATAGTAAGTTCCAGCTAAATTGGAGGTTACTTTGTTATGGAAGGACTAATGTTTCTGTCAATAGTGGACCTATTCTCCTTTGTTGTTTGGATCTGTTGACGAAAAATTCTTATCCCATGTCATTATTCTTAGGTTGCTTTCTAAATTAGGTGGCTAAATATTGAAGATCGCAGAACTCATACAAAATATGACCGGATAGTGTGTTTGATTAACACAGTTGATAGCAAAGGTAATTGGGTAAAGGGGCAGTGTCTATTTTCTACACACAGTTGATGGCTGACTCAAATGCTAATACTCTGCATAAGTCATTGAAGGGCAATGAAGGAAGTGTTTTTGGTTTGAGAAGATAAATATAGAAAAAGGGGTCTCCATTCCTGATTGTAAACGTGTATAATGAGTCCATACCATTTTGCTAACCCGTGTACGTACAAAATAGAATGTTCTTCTTTAAAATACTATTTTAGAATGGATGATTGCAGCAATATTAGTAATTTTTATTTTATACATTTATACAGAATTGGAGGTGGTTAGATATAGTACTAGTATAAGAAATATAGAAGCAGGGAATAAGCCATATATACTATAGTGAAGTTTGTAATTTGTGTCAGTGACTTGGTTAGATAAGAAAAGAGATAAGATGAAATGGGAATCATTTAATCATGTACACCTTCCATGACACACAAGATAAGGGTCAATAGATGTCGCCTAATACAGACAAAATGTTGTCAGATTGTGGAGTTAAATCACAGAAAGCGAGTTTTTACATTTATTGCCAATCATATTAGTTGGCCTTAGGCAACCCACTTAATTCCTGGTTTTGTTTTATAGCAAAACTATGGACACGAGTCCTTGTCAAATTAAGCTTTAGCACGGTTTAGGTTTGCTTTATGAAGCTCCGTCCATCGTTAAGAGCCTTTGCAGATTAGCTTTTCTATGTTGGTGTAGTCTTGGTTGGTGTTTGGTGATGTGTCTCGTGCATACAAGCAAGCAAAAGAAAAAACGCTAAGGTGAAGAAGTTGAGATGCCCCAACAACACTAGATGTCACAATTGTACACCAAGTGAGTTACTTTTGGAACATTTGAAGAGGCAACCCAGTTCAGGAAAGCTTTCACATTCTATTCATCCTCCAAAGTCCAACAATGCCAATGTCTTCCTGAGGATTGGTCCATTGGAGTTTACATTAGTTCAAAAATGAAACATGTGACAGAGTTATGTGGTCTTTTATTTTATTTTTTCTTGAGAATACTACAGCACATATAGTGCCAATAACAGGAAAGGGCAAGGGTATGAAAAATGAATCTTGTCTAAGTCATGGAGACTGGTAAGCTTTATGCCCTTGTGTATATACATATAAAAAAAAAATTCTTTGTTGACAAATTGGTGCTGGAAACTGCGTGGGGAGAGAAGCATTCCCTTGCTCCGTCCATGCCAACTTTATTTCTTTGTGAAAGTGACATGAAATTTGTCTTGAAACGGCCATGATTAGGCTTGCTTTCCGTTTGGGTAAGTATGAATTATCCCACAAGTTGGTCTTCGTGTAAACGTCAAGCTATTAAGATCTTGAGGGCCATGGGGTCCTTATGCTTTTGAGGAGGAGATAGGTGTCGGGGTGCCAATTGTGCCAAATGGGTGGCCCTCAAACCAATAGGTTAGCAAAGTTAGGTATTAGGTGCCTCAAAGTCCTAAATGAAGTGATTGCTCTTCCAATCATTATCAGGCTGAGATAGATTCGTCAAATGATTGTGAAAAGAATCGAGGTAATGGAGAAAATTGGCATAGGAATCATATGCCTTATGTCACCAACCCTACTTCAAATACTCATTTTCTTACCATCGTTATTCATCGATAAATCTTACCTTAAAAACTTGTTTTGGATTAAGTGTTTTTATTGGGGTTGGATTCAGCACTAAACAACCTCATCTTCTTCAAGCCTGGACCAAAATTTCATCAGTCATTCATGTCGAGTATGTATGTTTTTTGTTATGGGACCATTTAAGAAAAACAACAAAGTACATAATCAAAACTATTTTTTAAACTATTTGTTCGCCAACATGTGTTTAAACATAGTAATTAACATTGTAGAAGCCCGCTTCAAAGTTGGGCTCTGAATAAGCTACATTATTCAACATAAGCCCACTGGTGCACGTTTAGGACTTGCTTCACTCATGACCAAAAAAAACAAAGCAATGAGGAAAAGGAGAACTCTTTCTTTTTGCACCCCACAAATTTCAACATGCACTCCATAACATTCTAAAAAACTAATGCATGTTGGGAGAATCTTTGAAAAGTTTATGCGACCAATCGTATCAACTTTTCCAAAAGTTTTTTAAATAAAATTTTCTTAAATATTTCTCTATTCACAAATCCCAAATTGGAAGATTATGTTCTGAATTTCTTAATCCAGAACTTTTTTTTTTTTTATAAATCTACCAATTCGAAATATTTTTAAATCATCAATTTCGTAAAATTCACAAAAAGTTCAGATCACGAGAAAGAGATCGAAGCTGATATTGGTAAAGCTTATCTTTGTTTAGAGTAAGTCCCTGAAAATGTTCTTGCTCTATTGAGGTACGCATCTCAGGATTTACCTCAGTGTACAATTTAACAACATGTTTTGCCATGCTGTCAAGGGAATTAGGACTTCTTGGGGAAGAAATAATTTTTAAGAGCACACTCATCATATGCTCAGCTTGTATTTCATTTACCACAGAGTTCATTTCTGGGGTTAATGAATGAAATCTTTATGTAGGAGGGATGGTAATATCTTGGAGACATCCTGCTTCTAACAGAAGTTGAGGGCTTATCAGAAGCTCTCGGTATAGTTGGTTTTTGAAGGTAGACAAATCAATTTGTGCCCTTCGGATGACAAACTTTAACTGACATGTACATTTTGTGGATACTGTTTTTACAGTATTCCGAGGATCCTAAACAAAAACTATGGAAGAAAGTTTATTTTATTTGCAAACTTTGTTCTTGGCACCTCATCTTTTTTATTCTTTTCGATAAAAAAAAAAACTAATTTTCAAAATATATTCATAGAAAAAAGTTGTGATACATTGGGAAATTAGCTTTCCTAATGTATTAAAACAATTTTTCTAACCCGTGCATGGAAAGTAATTCAATACATAAATACAAATTAATATAATGACGTTTTGAGGTAATTTCAACATTTGATATATTTTTCATTGTAAAGTTTAGGTTGATGAAAAAGTTAGTTAAACAAAATACAATATAAAAACCAACAATATGATTAAATGGTTTTTTATTAGGATTTGATTTAATTTATACATTTTTCATTTTAGTTAAGATAAAGAATGAAGTTGGAATAAGCATGGAAGGATGAAGAAGGAAGTGCATGTATATTCCCGACAATACATGAAATGGTGGTGAAGTAGACGATAGAGGACAAATTGTGTGATATGATTGATGGTTGTATTCTGAGGCCGTGTTCACTACTTTTTGCCAAATTCAATCTATCATGCACGCACAAGCTTACAAAATGAATAGTTTCGTAATAATCTCACTTCGTACAAACAGTTAGGAACCTATATCCATCGGAGTTTAAAGTTTCTCGTCGTTACTCGTCAAATCCATCGGAGTTTAAAGTTTAAAGTTCGTAATTATTTTTAAGAGAAATATTTATGAAAATATTTAGTTTTTGTATAACATTTTGTGATTCAATAAAT